AGTCCCACCAGCAATGCAGGAGTGTCCCAGTCTCTCCACATCCCCACCAGCATTTATTGCCCTCAACTTTTTTTGATCTTTGCTGTTATTGCTGGTGTGAGATGGTATCTCATTGTTGTTTTGATTTGTATCTCTCTAATGGCTAGTGATCATGAATATTTCTTCTTATGTTTGTTGGCTGCCCAGATCAACTCCCTGGTGAAGTGTCTGTTCATATCCTGTGCCCATTTTTTGATTGGGTTATTTGTCTTGTTTTTGTACTGGCTTGTATCTTTACAGTACGGATTAGCACTCTGAATAAAAATCAGCATGTCTACCACTGTGAAGGTAACAGTGAACAAATGTCATTTAAGAGGGTCTTCAAGAAGTTCATGGAAAATAATCACATTATCTTTAATTCCATTTTTCTATAAACTTTTTTTGAAGTCCCCTCATAATTTAATAAGGCATTTAGATTTAAACAAAAAATCTCAGGACCAAAGACAATTAAGGGTCAAGATAAAAAAATTACTGTTAGTATAGCATCAATTGTGACAGAAAACAAAAGATTAAAAACAACTCAGACTTCTAGTAAATGAAGAAAAACAGAAAAAATTTTATTCTACACAATAAAAGTGGAAAGGAGAAAAGTATGTTAAGTCTCAGCTTAATACCTGTGTACACCTTGTGTATGGGTACATAAGGGGGCTTCAAAAAGACTGTGGACAAAACTCCATTGTCTTTTAATTCCATTTTTCTACTAACTTTTTGAAGCCCCATCATACATTCTTTTAAGTTAAAACAGGTATCACTCATGTAAAAACTGTAAAAAATTTTGCATTGAAATTAAAATTCACGTAACATTAAAGTCACATTTTTGTTCTATCAATGTTGGGTACCATCAAATCAGTCTGACTCATAGCAACCCTACATTCAACAGAAGAAAACACTGCCCTGTCCTGTGTCGTCCTCCCTATAGTGTCCATGTTTGAGCTCATTGTTGTATTCACTGTGCCAATCCATCTTCTTAAGGGACTTTGATTTTGTTGCTAACCTACTAGAACCAAACATGATTTCATTCTCCATGGACGATTTCTCCTGGTAACATGTCCAAAACACATGACACAAAGTCTCACCATCCTTGCTTCTAAGGAGCACACCAACTATACCTCTTCCAAGACAGACCTGTTCCTTTTCCTAGAAGTCTATGGTATATTCAACATTCTTCACCAACACCATAATTCAAATGCATTAATTCTCCTCTGGTCTCGTTCATTCACTGTCCAGCTTTTGCATGCATATGACGTGACTGAAAATACCATGTCTTGGGTATCGCGCCAGTTTAGTTCTCAAAGTGACTTCTTTGCATTTTAACACTCCAAAAATGTCTTTTTCAGATTGACCCAACATACAACAATGGTTTCTTACCTGCTGCTTCCAGGAATACCCTTTTTAGTATTCTCTTTTGTATATATCTAGGAGTAGAATTGCTTATGTTGTTGTTTTTGTTAAATGCCAGTGAGCAGATTCCAACTTACAGCAACCCTGTAATAGGGTTTCCAAGGAGCGGCTATTGTGTTTGAATCACTGTCCTTTCAGTTCAAACTGACCTTTCGGTTCAGCGCTTATCCTACAGTGCCACATCAGTTATATGGTTATTCAATGTTTATTTTTAGAGGAACCATCAAATTGTTTTCCACAGCAGTTGCACTACCTTGTATTTCTACCAGCAATAGATGAAAGGTTCCAATTACTCCACATCTTTACCAACACTTGTCATTTTCATATTTGGGGTCAAAGTCATCTCACTGGGAATAAACTGGCATCTCACTGTGGTTCTGCTTTACTTTCCCTAATGATGTGCAGCATCTTTTCATACGCTTGATGATGACTATTAATCTTATTTGGCAAAATGTCTATTCAAGTCCTCCATCCATTTTTTAGTTGGATTATTTGTCTTTTCACTCTTGAGTTGTAAGGGTTCTTTATAACACACCTCTGTCAGATAAATCATTTACAAATATTTTCTTCTGTTGTATAGGCCCTTTTCATTTTCTTGATGGTGGCCTTAAAAATACAAAGGTGCTTTCTTTTGATGAAATAAAAAAAACTATGACAATGAAATACATTGTTGTGCTGTGGGTTAATGCGCCAGACTGCAAAGCCGTTTGAACTGCAAGGTTGGCGGCTCAAGGTCACCAACTGTTCCTCAGAAATCCCATACAGGGTCGCTATGGGTCGGAACCAACTCGACGGCACTTCACACAACATTATCAGACTGAAATAAAGCTGTATCAGACTGAAGTTGTCAAAGATTTCATTTTGCTCAGTCAATCATTAACACTCATCAAAGCAGCAGTCAAGAAAACAAACGACATATTGCATCAGGCAAATCTGCTACACAAGACCTATTCAAAGTCTTAAAGACAGCAAAGATATCAATTTGAGGACTAGGGTGTGTTTGACCCAAACTATTTTGAATAATAACCTCAAATCCATGTAAAAGTGGAAGTGAAAAAAGGAAGACCATAGAAGAATTGATGTATTTGAGTTCTAGTCTTAGAGAAGAATATTCAAAGTATCATGGACTGCTAAAAGAACCAACAGATTTGTGTTGGATGTAGTACAGCCAGAGTGCTCCTCTAAAGTCAGGACTGTCAGACTTCGTCTCTTGTACTTCGGGTACATTGTCATGAGGGACAAGTCCCTGGAGAAGGATATCATGTTTAGTAGAGTGGAGGGTCCACAAAAAAGAAGAACCCCAGTAAAATGGACTGATGCAGTGGGCAACAGCAATGGAATCAGGTGTAGTGATGATTTTGAGGTTGGCACAAGACCCAGCATTGTTTCGTCTTGCTAACTCAATAGTCCCTAATAACAATACCAGGCAAGGAGTCCTGGTGTGGTACTACAAGCTGAACACCAAACTGCTGATGCTAACCGAAAGGTTGGTGGTTTCAAATCCATCTGCCAATCCTCAGAAGCCCTATAAAGGGTTGCTATGAGTTGGAACCAACTCAACAACAGGTAAGGTGGGGAGATCCCTGGATAGCATAAATGGTTATGTGCTCAATTACTAGCTGAAAAGATGGGTAATTCAAATCTACCCAGAACCAAGACAGACCGGCAAGTAATCTACTTGGAAAAGGTCATATTCTTGGAAAAGCTACAGAGCAGTACTATTCTGCACACATGAGGGGCCTGTGAGTCGGAATCACAGCCACAACATACTAGGAAAACTCTAGTCAAAACAAGGCTTATGTGGTGGTCCTAGGAACAAAATATACATTATGGTTAAGTTAAAAATTACTAAAGCTAAAGGATATTATGCAATCATAAACAGTCCAATGACTGGAAAAACAACTATCTTAAGCCTACATGGCGCACTTTTTAGGTTAAAATACAAAAACCAAAAGTGACAAAGTGAAAAAGATAAATAAAATTGAGTCAATCTCAACCCATAGCAACCCTGTATATGGTTTCCGAGGAGTGGCTGGTGAATTTTAGTCGCTGACCCTCCTGTTCAAGCCAACCCTGCAGTTGAGTGTTTATCCTGCGGCGTCACACCAGGACTCCTACAGTCATTGTGCTTGTTCTTGCTAAGTGCCAATGAGTTAATTCTGACTCGTACTAACACTGTGCAAGGTTTCCAAGGAGCAGCCGGTGGGTTTCAACTGCCAAACCTGTAGTTTGTAGTTCAGTGCTGATCCTACAGCACCAGGAGATACGAATATATTCAACTCAGTAATATATGATGGATGAAGCACACAAAAAATATAAGTATGGAGGAGATCTGAATAAACATACTGGCAAGTTAATAGCTATCTACACAGACATGCCTTGTTTTTTATCGTGCCTTTCTGTACTGTACTTAACACACTGTCTTTTTGATAAATTGGAAGTTTATTTCAACTCAGCATCAACCAAGTCTATCAATGCTATTTTTCCAACATCATGTTGTTCACTTCATGTCTGTGTGTCATATTTTGGTAAAGTCTTATAATATTTTTAAATTTTCCATAATGCTATTGCATACTTAGTAAACCACAATATAACATAAACACAACTTTAATATGCACTAAAACTCAAAAACTTCATGTGACTTGTTTATTGTAATATGTGCTTCACTGCAGAGATTTGGGATGGAAACCCCCAGTATCTCAAGGTATTCCCAACAGTAGATAGTATCAAACAACTTCAGGATATACATTCTTCACAAATATAAAGCATATATTAAGAACTGACCACATAATGCAAGTCTCAACCAATTTCAGAGGATGAGCACATCATGTTAATCACATTCTCTACAAGCACATCAGTTTAATCAGAAATGAAATTAATAAAATAGAAAAACCATATACTCCAGTGAATAAGGAATCCCGGTGTGGCACTGTGGGTTAATGAGAAGGACTGCAAAGTTAGTTTGAACTGCAAGGTCAGTGGTTCAAGCTCACAAACTGCTCCTCTGAAACCCTATACAGGGTCCCTATGAACCAATGTGACAGCACTTAACAACAGAGTGAATAAGGACTCACGGTACGTGCTGTAGGATCAGCACTAGACTGCAAACCACAAGGTCAGAAGTTCAGACTCACCAGCTGCTCCTCAGAAACCCTATACAGAACCAACTCAACAGTACTTAACAAAACAACAACAACAGAGTGAGTAAGGAGTCCTGGTATGGCACTGTAGGATAAGCTCTGAGCTACTAATCACAAGGCCGTCAGTTCAAGCCTAACAGCTACTCCTGGAAGCCCAATACAGAGTTGCTATGAATAGGAAGAGACTCAACAGCACTGAACCACAGTAACAACAGTGAATAAGCAAGACTATAAGCTTATCCTTTAAAAATACTTAATGACATAAACATGCCCTTTAAACAAGAGAAGAAGAAAAAAAAGGCTAGAAAGTACAATTAGAATACTAGGTATGAAAAAATAAAGAAATAATTATAAATGATACTGATACCAAAAAGGTAGTATATCAAAAAGGACTCGTTTTATGCTAATCAATCTGAAAATTTATAACACTATAGAATTTAACTTGGTAAAACTGTCTTAAAAACAAACTTGAGCAGACACATATTCATTATTGTTGTTGAGTGCCACTGAGTCGGTTCCTACCCATAGCAACCCTGTATAGGGTTTCCAAGGAGCAGCTGATGAGCTTGAACCGCCAACTCTGCTGTTCCAACCAAATGCAGTGCGAGCACATTAACCCACAGCACCACACCAGAACTCCATATATTTACTACAGGAATTAATTCTTTCTCTAAGGAAATTACTGAGTATTGGTATGGTGCTAGAGGATAATGCACTGGATTACTAGGTCAGTTTGAACAGTAAGGTTGGCAGTTCAAATTCACCAGCTGCTCCTCAGAAACCCTATACAGGGTCACTATGAGTTGGATCCAACTTAATAGCACTTAACAATAACAACAACATGTTTTTGGCTAAATTTTTTAAGCAACTACTCAGAAATTAAGTAAGCAAAAATTAAAAAATATAAATACATTTCCCTCCATGGTAGAAAAGAACTTTCTAAGGCTTCCATACACATTATCAAGAAAAATATGAAACTGGAAAATCATGGGCAACACCATTCATGAATACACATGCAAAAAACCTTAAACGAAGTGAATTCAGCAATTCATAAAAAGATTTATGCAAAATGATCAAGCTGTACTATCCAAAAATAGAGACTGGTTTATAATCACAAAGTCAATTGATGTAAATGTATCAACAGCTTATAGATGAGAAATCATGTGAGCAATATAGTGACAAGAGCCTTTGAGAAGGTGGCTGACTCAAAGCTGAATATTAAAAACTCTACATTTCCAGGCTACCAACAAGTAACTAGAAAATATTTTTTTTTAAATCGTAACTCAGAGTAATATCAAAACTGTAAAGAATTTAGGGAATGAAAATTATCAGGAGACTTGAATAGGCACTTCCACAAAGCAAAAACACAAACAGCAAATAAAACCTCTTATATATGTAGTGTCCCTAGGAGACTCAAAACAAAAATGGTTGCTATTAAGTCGATTCTGACTCATAGCTACGGCATGGGACACAGAACTGTCACATAGGATTTTCAGTGCTGTGATCTTTCCAAGGTTGTCCTGGTGTGGCGCTCACCAGCTGTTTCCTGGAAACCCTATACAGGTTGGCTATGGGTCAGAATTGACTTGGACAGTACTAGTAACGACAACAATCCTTACAAAAGCAGACTGACAGACACATCCTTCTCCAAAGGAATCACAGTTGGGTTCAAACCACCAACCTTTTGTTTCAGCCGAGTGCTTAAGTATTGTGCCACCAGGACTTGTCTGCTCAAAGATAACACATTCGAATATAACTGCCCCAACAATACACTAGAGATAACCCATTTATCAGGAAAACCAAGTCATATAAATCATGATAGTCAACAGTTAACCTGAGGAAAACCCTATCTCAAGAAGAGAAAAAACACGTGTAGAATCATTTTGGTGTTGTTTGCCACTGAGTGGTTTCAAATTACAGTGACTTTCTTTAGAGCAGTTGATAGATTACCAGTCCAGTGCTTATCCAACAGCACCACACCAAGGCTCAATTTATGTTAAACATGAGGAATGTTTCCACAAACTTTTTGAAGTCCCTTTATATACTTTGTTTTAAGTACCATGGAGTCGGTTCCAACTCATAGTGACCCTGTATAGGGTTTCCGAGGCTGTAAATCTTTACGGGAGCAGAACGCCTCATCTTTCTTCCACAGAGGCGCTGGTAGTTTCGAACTGCTGACCTTGAGGTTGGCAGCCCGACTCGTAACCACTACACTACCAGAGCTCCTTTTATATACTTTATTTGGTGTTTGTAAGTGTTGCCAAGTCTATTCTAACATAACTCTGTATATAGAGTTTCCAAGAAGCAGCTGGTGGGTGTGAACCTCCAACCTTATGATTTGTTGTCCAGCGCTGATCCTACAGTGCCATGTGACAAAACATTTAAGTAATTACAAACACAAATTCATGAGCATAGTTATTGTTAACGACACGGGAAAAAGATGGAATTGGGAAAAAACATCCAGGGGACTTAATACATCATTGTAATTTTTAAAACTAGGTGGTGGGTTCATAGTAGGTAAATCTTAACACATCTTGAATCAATATTTAATAATAAAAAACACCAATTTTTTTGTTTTAAATATTATTTCTATAATTTAAAAGAACCATATAATAAGATAAACAAGGAGATTGACTCTTAGGCTGAAGAAGACAATTAACAACAGAAATTACAGAAAGACAAAACTGTTATGGAATGTGACACCAAGTCAATTGAATCACCGACCTTGTGGTTCAAATCAACCTTGATGTTGAACATCTTACCAATGCTCTTTCTCAAATACTATCACGCCATTTTAATTATCAAAACAAATTATCAACTACATCTATCTGTACACACTCAAGCCACACTATAAATCCACCTAATGCATGTGCCAAAGAATTAAAATTATTTGTACTGTATGTACAGCTTCCAACTTTATAAATATAAATTGATATTCAGTATTACTGCCAGCTATGTAAAGCAATTATATTTTAATGGGTTATGAAGATAAGTAACAGCCATGGCAATCTAATGATCTTACGAAAGTTTGAGCAATCTAATTTCATTCTTAAGAGTTCTGATGCTGCAGGGTAAGCACAAAATAGATTTGAACTGCAAGGTGGGTGGTTCAAACCCACCAGCCGCTCCTCGGAAACCCTATAATGGGTCGCTATGAGTTGGAACCGACTCCACAGCATGTAACATTTTGTTATTACTAAGTGCCATCAAATTGGTTCCAACTCATAGTGATCCTGTATTGGGTTTCCAAGGAGTGGCTGGTGGGTTTGAACTGCCAACCTTGTGGTTAGCAGTCCAGTGTTTATCCTACAGCGCCACACCAGGACTCCACATGCTATATATAGCACTGCCAAAAGCCTTCCAGAACGGGACGAAATTCATCACTTTGCTACCAACCATAATGGGAAATGACTGAGTACACGCCTGTTTCTAATATTTTACTAGAAACTTACTTCTTCCACCTGTCCATCTTCAGCTCCTTCTTTCTCTTTGTCTTCCAGTACATCATCATCATAATCTACTTCTTCGTCTTCATCTTCTTCAGATGATGTATCCCCGGTTCCATCAACCTGTAACACCAATGGAGCTTGTGGTTGAGCAGGTTGTGCCTGTGGTTGCTGTTGACCAGCTGCCGTTATCTGTGCTTGTGCTGGTGTGGGTGCTGCCACTGTTGTAGGTATAACTTGAGTCTTATTTCCTGTAAATAAGATTTGCTGAGGCTGGATGATGACACCTGTCTGTGGTGAAATCCCTCCAGGAAGAGGAGCCAATACCTACGGCAAAGGAAAAATCACAATTAGGAACCAGAGGATCCAGTAGCTCAGTTTTACCAGTTGGTATACGGAAACAGGCCCAAATGCTGAATAATCACCAGAAGCCGTCATGTCTCATATACATGTAAAACTACCTAAATACAGAGCAATTTTTAACTAGTATACAGGCCCACTAAGGTCCCTAGATAGGCCACATGGTTTGTACTTGTGTGCTTATCTTGGTATAGGGTTAACATTGGACTGCTAACAACAGTCTGTGATTCAAACTCACCAGCTTCTTCTTAGGAACCCTACACAGGGCCACTATGAATCAGAATAGACTCAACAGCACTTGAGACACACACACACATTAACTTAACAGTTCACAATTTAAACCCATTTAGCAGTGCTGTGAAATAAAAGGCCTATTAATCTACTTCTATAAAGATCCTGGTGTGGTACTGTGGATTAATGCGCCAGACTGCAAACCCATTTAAACTGCAAGGTCAGCGGGTCAAGCTCGCCAACTGCTCCATGGAAACCCTATACAGGGTCGCTATGGGTCAGTAGCACAGTGGTTACGAATTGGGCTGCGAATCGCAAGGTCAGCAGTTCGAAACTACCAGCTGTTCCGCAGGAGAAAGATGAGGAGGCTTTCTGCTCCTGTAAAGATTTACAGCCTCGGAAACCCTGTACAGGGTCGCTATGAATCGGAACCGACTCCACGGCATATAACAACAACAACAAAATGGGTCAGTAGAAACTCAATGGCACTCCACAACAATTAACAACAACATAAAGATTGTTGTTTTTGGTGAGTGCCATGGAGTCAGTTACTACTCACAGAGACCCTGCACAGGGTTTCTGAGGCTGTAAACCTTTATGGGAGCAGAATGTTTCATCTTTTTCCCTCGGAACAGCTGGTAGTTTCGAACTTCTGATCCTGAGGTTAGCAGCCCAACTTGTAACCACTATGCTACCAGAGCTCCTTATAAAGATTATACCTAAGAAAAGTCTTCGGTAACAGGTTTTGGCATTAACCTATTAAGTTCTCACTTTACTCTTCAAATTTGCAAGCAAAAACAATCTTCTAAGAACACACTTGGTACCTGAACAACATGGATTTGAATTGTGAGGATCCAATTATATTGTGGACTGTAATAACCATTTTGGCACCAATTAATTTCCACGTGAACCCTTTCTTTCTAGAACATTGCATACTGCAGTAAAAGGTGATCTCTAGTGGTTCACGCGCAGTTTTCATTGTGTTTAGTACAATACTGTAAACCTTCAATAACACCAAGGAACCCATATGAATTCCCACTGATGCTGAATTGCTTGACATGTACTGTAGACTGAGGTCTGCTGCTGCAGTTACCTGCAATTTCAGGATAAATGACTCCAGCATAAAGACCATTTTGAAAAATCAAAAGGAAATTTGTGAAGTTGCCGCTACGTGACAGCCGGCATGAAAACCTTGTATTTTTTGTGAAATACCTTGCCTCATATTGGAAAACACAGCTTTTATGCCCATGTAATATATAATACACATAAACAAACAGGATCAACCATGTAATCATCAAGGTTTCCAGTCAAGAATAGGCTATCAATTAAGTTTTTGCAGAGTCAAAAGATAAACATGAATTTTCTACTGTAGAGGGTTCGAGGGTGTGTGGTGGGGGCACTGCTACTAACCCCCGTGTTGTTCAAGGCTCAACTATTGCTAATAGCATTTACTTGAGCACTTATTACATATAAAGGAGCCCTGGTGGTGCTGTGGCATAGGGCGGCTACTGCAAGGTCTGTGGTCAAAACCCATCACCTGCTGCAAAGGAAAAAGATGAGGGTACCTGGTCCTGTCAAGATTTACATTCTTCAAAATCCTATACATGGTCACTATGAGTTGAAATCACAGTGGGTGCTATGTAGAGGAGTCCTGCTGGCCCAGTGGTTATAAGCGCTCAGCTGCTAACTAAAAGGTTAGCAGTTTGAACCCACCAGCCACTCTACAGGAGAAAAATGTGGCAGTCTCGTCCAAAAAATTTACTAGCCTTAGAAACCCTGTGGGAAAGTTACACTCTGCCCTAAAAAGCCATTATATGTTAGAATTGACTCATCATCAAAGGCTTTGGTATGGTTTTGCTATGATAGACACCAAGCCAAGAATTACACATACTATTTGTCTGCTTGAGATATGAAGAGAATTAACAACTTGTTCTTACTATTATTCTACAGTGCATCCATCCGTATGAAGAACACTGAACTGGGACTCTTTGGACAGTTTTGTCTTATGACCATAAATGTAAATTATAATAGAGCCAATCATTTTAACTTCTCTTACCTCTGGTCACTTCACTGTTAGACTAGATCAATGATTCTCAACTCTGGCAACAAATTAAAACTACCTGGTAACTTATAAAAATATGACTAGGCCCACCCACCTCCAAAATTCAAATTCAACTGATGGAAAAATGAAACCTATTCATTATATTTAAAGCTCTCCATATGACTCTTGGGAGTCCTGGTGTGGCACTGTGGGCTAATGCACTGGACTGCAAAGTCATCAACTGCAAGGTTGTCTGTTCAAGCTCACCAGCAGCTCCACAGAAACCCTTTACAGGGTCGCTATGGGTTAGAACTGATTTGACAGCACGTAACAACAACAACATGATTCTTTGGCAGAATAACAGCTGAGAATTTCCAGATCAAATGATTTCTAAAGTACCTTCCAGTTTCTACATTCTGTGAGATTCTAAACTACAACTCAGAATTAATTCCATCCATACTACACGCCTGGTTTAGCACTGTAAGGAACAGCACTAGACTGTGAATCACAAGGTTGGTAGTTCGAACCCACTAGCTGCTCCTCAGAAACCCAATGCAGGGTCGTTATGAGTTGGGCACATAAGGAACCAACCAACACAATATTTAAAACTTAAAAGCACCAATTTCCTATTAGAATCAAAGAATATACAAATACTAAGACATGGTATTTTCCTTGAACAATTTATAGATGAATGGCATCAATAAATAAAAGAATTGAACTCAAAGAGATAGACTATATTATAGACATATGATATGGTGTTAAGAGAACACAGTAGGTGGTAGTGGTGGTGGTGGTGATGGTGTGTGCCATCGACTCAGTTCTGACTCAAAGCAATCCTATACAGGATTTCCAAAGTCATGCATCTTATGAGAGCAGAAAGCCTCATCTTTCTCCCACAGAGTGACGGGTGATTTATACTGCTGACCTTGCAGTTAGCAGCCTAATCCGTAACCTGCTCTACTACCAGAACTCTTTAAAGAGAACCAAGGAGAGAATACCAAACTCAGGTTGTGGAACAAGGCATGATCAGAGAAGCCTTCCTAGCAAGTAATACGTAAGTTGCTGCATTGCTGTAAGAAGATCCAGGCTTTTTTGTTTGGCGAGACGTTTGTGGGGACAGAACAGAGGGAGCTACTAGAAACAGCTCTGGTAGCTTAGTGGTTATGAATCGAGCGGCTACTAATCTCAAGGTCAGCAGTTCAAAACTACCAGCAATTTCATGGGAGACAGATGAAGCTTTCTGCTCCTGTAAGTATTTACAGCCTTGGAAACCCTATGCAGCAGGGTCACTATCAGTCAGAACCGAATACTCAGCCCATAACCACCAACCACCACTAGAAGGAAGGTGACCTGGTGACCTGGTGTGGCACTGTGGGATAAAGCACTGGAACACACGGTAGATTGGAAGTACAAGGTCAGCGGTTCAAACTTACCAGCAACTCCTTGGAAACCCTATACAGGATCTCTATGAGTTAGAACCAACTAGACAGCACCTAAAAATAACACTAGAAGGAAGGTCAAAGGTGACATTCTAAAAAGAAATTACATCAGGTAAAACACAATTTTTAAAAAAAGGTAAGTAGGCATTGGCCCAGGATCGAACATTGTTTCGTTCTGCTGTGCATGGAGTCGCTATGAGTCGGTTCCGACTCGATGGCACCTGACAACAACAACAACAACAAAAGGCATTGGATTAATATTCTTCCTCTGATTTGACCTTTTATCATTGTATTAGCATACCAAGATTACATTTTGTGTAAAGTACCAAAGTTCCCCAAGACAGTAACCATTCCTCTTTTATCATCGTACCCAGAGTGCAAAACAATGTAACACTTGTCACATAAGGAAGTATTAAGTATTTGTTAACTTTGATCTATAGAAAAAATGAGCAGATAACAACTTCGAAAACAGCAAGAATTAAACATTAAACAGCAAGAATTAATTATCAGACTGTGAAAAAGATCTTATAAACCACAGTAAGGAGTTTAGACGTTTTTCAAAACGCAATACAAAACTGTTAATAAGATGTTAACATTTTTAGAAAAATGACTCCATAAAAAGAATCAAGACATGGAATAGCTAAAAGGGGAATTAGAATTTGCCTACATAAATAGGCTTCTAATTAAGCCTTTGTGGAGTATGGGGCCTTAGGTGGAATCCTGAGGCCCCAGCCAGAACCTTCTGATGTGGGACATTTCCATTAGAAAACACATGCAGATTAACTCAGAACAGCTGGGAAAACAAGATTCTCATAGAAAGAAAGACCAGCAGAAAAAAAGCTGTCCATTTGACTGTAAGAATATCAAGCAAGCTGTTGGCTTTGGAGCCATCCAGGCAAGAAAAGTCAACTCATCAGGGAAAACCTCCTCCTAAGACTGGAACTCAAAGAGAACACAAGAACAGTCTACTATGCTGCCTGGTGATTACCCTGGTCTTCTTGTAAGTGGAAGTGGGGAAACGCAGCAATGAAGACATGCGTTGAATTTGGCCATGTTCCATTGACACTTGTTGGTCTTGAGATGAGAGAAGAGACGAGAAGGGCTGACTGGTCAGAAGTTTAGGGGCATGCATGAACTCCCGTGCTCACAGGCACTGACCTAGCCACTGGGGTCTATAGCTGAGAGTGAACTGACCAACTGGTCTGAACTTGTGCATGAACTCCCACAAACTTGTACCTAGTGTCCACTTGACCCAGCTTGGAAGACTAGCTGACCAGAACTAGAACAGATGAAGATAAAGATGCTTGAAACTGTGAGCAAAAATAAACTGCTTTAATTTGATGAACTGGATCTTTGCTTATGGATTCAGGTGAGCAAAATTCCAACCAAAATGGAAGGATTCTTCATATGAAGGATCAAGATTGTTTTCTCAATGCACTGGATTACTAGGGACCAGCAATTTAGACACTGGCTATCAAAAATAGGGGGGAGGGACTATATAGGGTGCTTAGTTTTAGAATGAGACGCGAACTATAGAATTTCCACTGAATAATTTTCCTCTTTTTCAGATGGATCTGGTGAAAGGGTATGGGGATGATGGTGACAGGACTTTATTATTCAACTGTAAATGATAGCAAGATTAATTGCAATTGCCAAAAATGTAATTATAGAAGATGTGTTAACTAAAAGGGGGGGAGTAATTAATCTTTCATTACAGGAACACAAGATCCCAGTGGTTAAGCGCTCAGAACATGAGTGGAGCATGAGGAACTACCTAGAAAAGCAGAGACTGTGGCAGTGGCTATAACATGGAGAGATAGAATAGGGTTGTGTGCCGCCCTGCAGGTAGGAGACTGGATGCAAAATGTGCCCTTTGGATATTCAAATGAATTTATTTTTTTGTTTTGTTTTGTATGTGTATATCAAATATTCTTGCTTTCTCAATTTGTGAAAAATGAGATGTAAAAGGAAAACCACAGGGAGGAAGCAGAGTAACTGTTGTTGCAGGGAAGGGACTAATCATTTACATAAAACAAAAGGTATAACTGGTTGAATGTAAAGCTTATTATCTTGTCTGTTCACTTTCACTCAATTCACAATAAAAAGTTTAAAGAATCAGGACATTAGGATCTGCAGCATTGGAGAAAAGCTTAAGACTTTGTATAGACATGTTGTTGTTAAGTGCCGTCATGTTGTTTCCAGCTCATAGCAACCCTTGTATAGGGTTTCTAAGGAGCAGACAGTGGGTTTGAACTACTGACCTTGTGCTTCACCATCCAGTGCTGATCTGACAGTGCCACACCAGGAGCGCTTGTATAGATATAGTCATGGGAAAAGGGAGGGGGAACCACACACAGAGTTCATACAGAAAGAAGGAAAAAGAACTGCATGGTGCTCACAGATGCTTTTACCTGTTGTATAACAGGAGCTTGTACTCCACCAGGCTGCATTTGTGGAATAACCTGCTGCTGCAGAACCACTGATTGCTGAGGCTGAAAAATATACTGGGCACCATTGGGTGCTCTGACCACTTGCAGAAGTTGGCCTAAAGAGAAAGTACACATTCCAAGTTACCATTTTAGCAGAGGCAATTTCAAAATAATTAAAAATACAGGCAATCCCTTAGGTTTATAAACAAGATTGGTTCTTAAATATGCCTTTAAGTCCAATTTACAGGTAAGTTGAAACCCACCAGCCACTCTATGGGAGAAAAATGAGGCTTCTTGCTCCTGTAAAGATTTATAGCCTGAGAATCAACTCAATGACAGTAGGTTTGGGGTTCAGTGCAGGAAAATGCTTGAAGACTTTTCAGTGACTTAAAAGCTGAACATACAGGAAATGAAGGTGATTATGATGAAGAGTTCCTTTCGATAGTTAAACTATTTTAAAGTAAAGGCATATTTGTTTAATATTGTAAGGGCAAGTACAAGTTAATCCTAACTCAGAGGTTGAAAACCCAGGGACTTACTGAATTCATAATGAATTATGAATCAAACCACCAAAGGCCCTTGAACAACTTTATTTAATAAAGAATATCATGCATACTCTATAAACTACAGTCCCCCTTTCCTAACTACCTTCCATGTTTAAATACATTGCTTAAAACGCTTTCTTTAACACTTTCATTCTACTTACTCAGTTGTTTTCCAGTAAGATTTAATAACCCAATTACGATATATGATTTAAAGTTGAAATTATGTTTGTTAGCACGTTAGGAATCATGAGAGAGCAGTAAAACCACATTTCATGGGCTATTCATTTTGAAAGCTTTAAAGATATGTTCATGCTAGCATTTTGAAACAAGATTATTTCCTTCAAAATTGCTTAAAAGCAATTAAAGTTTCCTGAACCACATAATGTTAACTGTATGACTGACTTATATGTGTAGAAATAAGTCTCTCCAATATGTTGTTTCAGAACCCAAGAATTGTGAAATAATTAAAATAAGGCCTTGGTGAAAAAATAATGATGGGGATCTCATTAACAAAATTTTCTAAGCCCAATGACTTATTCACTAACAAATACCTATTTATTAACAACATAAAAGGTGACTATACACATGGATCTCACCAGATAGAATACACAGAAATCAAATTGACTACATCTATGGAAATAGACAGTAGAGAAAAGCTCCATATCATCAGTCTAAAAAGGCCATGGGAAAACTGTGGAACAGACCATCAACTGATCACACCCAAGTTCAGGATGAATTTGGAGAAAATTAAAACAAGTACACAAGAACCAAAATTTAACCTTTAACACATCCTGCCTGAATTTAGAGATCATCTCCAGAGCAGATTTGATGAATTCAACACTAGTGACCAGAGCCCAGAATTATGGGATGACATTAAGAACATCATAAAGGAAGAAAGCAAAAGCTCATTAAGAAGACAAGAAAGGTTTTTAAGAGGGAACCTAGATCCAGAGGGAATGGAGCAAGGGAGAATCTCCACTGAGTAGTCTAGGCAGGGCTGATGAAAGGAGAGGCGGATAAGTCTCTTGCGATAAATAGGGAATAATTGCTATCAGGACAGATTGTAAGGGCTGGAAACGTAAAGGTAGATGTTTTGTGGCAAAGGGAGGGGACTGATTAACACTGCAGTCTAGGAGTGAGGGTCCCTAGGACCATCAAGGGAGAAGAGCGGAAAACGGACCCCTACCCAGAGAAACAGTGATGCCACAGATGGAGGCAGAGACGATGATGTGGAGAGATGGAGCAGCTGGAGACTCTGGACCTGGAGAGTGAGAGGGACTGTGTGCTGACGACTGAGGGGGGCAGGCTTGCGGGGTATACCCTTTGGTTGAAGGATGATGCATGGAGGGGATTGTTACCATGGAAAGGAATTGATATACGATGGAATCAATGTGAAGCTAATGTCCTCCTATGTAAACTACCACATAATTCACAGTAAAGCATTTAAGGAAAAAAGACAAGAAAGATGGAAAAGACCAGAATAAACGTCAGAAGAGACTCTGAAACTTGCTCTCCAGCACACAGATGCTAAAACAAATGGAAAAACTGAGGAAGTAAAAGAACTGAGTATAAAGTTCAAAGGGCAACTCTAAAGTATTAGAATGAATTGCAAAGACCTGGAGTTAGAAAACCAAAAGGAAGTAACACACTAAACAACTCTTAAGCAGAAAGAACTGAAGCAAAATTTAAAGCCTCATCTTGAAATATTAAAGGATTCTATGGTAGTATAGTGGTTACGAATAGGGCTGCTAAACCTCAGGATCAGCAGTTCAAAACTTACCAGCTGCTCTGCAGGAAAAAGATGCGGTTTTTACTGCTCTCATAAAGATTTACAGCCTCAGAAACCCTGTACAGGGTCACTATGAGTCAAAACCAACTCCACGGCACATAACGACAACAACATGGGCAATATTTGCTCAGCATACAGAGTAAGTATGGTGAAAGAATACAACCCTGTTGCAGACCTTTCTTAATTTTAAACCATTCAGTGTTCCCATGTTCTGTTTGAACAACTGCCTTTTGATCCAGGTACAGATTCCTCATGAGCACAATTAAGTGTTCTGGAATACTCAAACTTCGCAATGTTGTCCAAAGCTTGTCACGATCCACATGATCAAAAGCCTTTATGTAGTCAACAAAGCACAGTTAAACATCTTTCTGATATTCTCTGCTTTCAGCCAAGGTCCATCAGACATCAGCAATGATATCCCTCATTCCACGCCCTCTTCTGAATCCAGCTTGAACTTCTGGAAGTTCTCTAACAATGTATGCTTGCGTCTGTATTACCTTCAGTAAAACTTCGCTCGCATGGGATATCAAAGATACTGTCCGATAATTACGACATTACGTTAGGTCACCTCTCTTTGGAATGGGAAAAATACGATCTCTTCCAATCAGTTGCCGACATAGCTGTCTTCCAAACTTCTTGGCAGAGATGAGTGAGTGCCTCCAATGCTGCCTCACGTTCTTGAAAGATTTCAATTTGTATTCCATCAATTCCTGGTGCCTTGCTCTTTGCCAATTCTTTCAATGCACCTTGGACTTCTTCTTTCATTATCATTGGTTCTTGATCATATGCTACCTCTTGAAATGGTTGAACATCAACCATTTCCTTTTGGTAAACTGACTCTGTGCATTCCTTCCATTTTCTTTTGATACTTTCTGCATCATTCAATAATTTGCCCAGAGAATCCTTCAATAACAGAAATTGAGGTTTGAATATTTTTTCAGTTCCCCCAGCTTGAGAAATGCTGAGCATGTTCTTCCCTTTTGATTTTCTTAGCAAATAATTCAAGACGCTGGGTTATATGAAGAAAAACGCAGCATCAGGAATGGAGGAAGACTCATTAATACTCATTATGCAGATGATACAACCTTGTTTAAAGAAAGTGGAGAGAACTTAAAATATTTAACTAACGAAGATCAAAGAGCACAGCCTTCGGTATGGATTGCGTCTCAATGTAAAGAAAACAAAAATTCTCACCACTGGACCAATACACAACATTCTTATCAACAGAGAAAAGACTGAAGTTGTCAATGACGTCATTCTTCCTGAATCAATCATCAACACTCATGGAAGCAGCAGTCAAGAAATAAAATGACATATTGCATTAGGCAACTCTGCTGCAAAAGACCTTTTTAAAGTGTTGAAGAGCAAAGATGTCAGCTTGAGGACTGAAGTGTGCCTGACCCAAGCCATGGTATTTTCAATAACTTCATATGCATATGAAAGTTGGACATTGAATAAGGAAGACCGAAGAAGAATTGATGCTTTTGAGTTATGGTGCTGGAGGAGAATATTGAAAAGTACCATGGGCTGCCAAAAGAATAAATAGATCTGTGTTGGAAGACGTGCAGCCAGAGTGTTCCTTGGAGGCCAGGATGGCCAAACTTCGTCTTTCATACTTTGGACATAGTGTCAGAAGGGACCAGCCACTGGAGAAAGAGATCATGTTTGGTAAGGTGGAGGGTCAGAGAAAAAGAGGGAGACCCCCAGCAAGATAGAATGGCAGAGTGGCAGCATCAATGGGCTCAAGCATTACAATTGTGAGGTTGGCCCAGGACAAGGCAGTGTTTCATTCTGTTGTACGTACATAGAGTCGCTGTGAGTCGCTACTGACTCGATGGCACCTAACAATAACAAACAGGCAATATACTGAATGATACAAAAATCATCCAAAGAAGATGGAAGGAACAGAGAGAATCACTATACTAAAAAGAAATGGTCAATGTTCAATCATTTCAAGAGGTAGCATATGATCAAGAGACAATGGTACTATTTTAAGACCTAAGTTCACGGAGGGCATACAAATCGAAATCTATCAACATACTAATGCACTCACACTCATCTTTGCCAATAAATCTGGAGAACAGCTACCTGGACAACTGAATGGAATAGATCCATATTTGTGCCCATTTCAAAGAGATGACCCAATGGAATGTGGAAATAAATCAGGGGACAGTACCAATGATAAGACACGCAAATCAATTTTTGCTGAAAAGACCTGGGGACTCTTGGTCCAGAGTCAGTGACATAGTCATGGAGGACTGGAGTGGAGAGTGGAGCGTCCAGCTGATAAGAAGAGAGGGCATATGCAGCACAAGAACACACACACTTGCAGATAATACCCACTTGACCTAGCTTCAATGACTGGATAATCAGAGCACAACTAGAAGAAGAATGAAGAGGAACAAAAAAGAATAATCTGATACAATTTGATGAACTTGACCTACACCTACAGATGCATAGCTCAAAAGAGGGAACAAATCTTTACAGCAAGGATCATTCCCACCCCCTTCATACACAGAGTAGACAGGGATGGACAACTTGGACACTGGCTATCCAATATGTGGCGGGGGGTGGGGGAAGGGGATACAAAGGCAAGAAGTGACTGGCTTACAAGCTTTCAAGAGGGAACCTAGATCCAGAGAGCGCAGAGGAAGGTAGAATCTCCACTGAGTAGTATCCAATCTGTCTAGGCAGGACTGATGAAAGAAAATGCGGATAGGTCTCTTGTGATATAATACTGAATAATTGTTATCAGGACTGATTGTTAGGGTTGGAAATGTAAAGAGAGACATTTTGTGGCAAGGAGGGGAGTGATTAACTTTGCAGTCTAGGAGCGTATGTCCCTGGAACCATGAAGGGAGAAGAGTGGAGAGCAGGATCCTACCCAGAGAAGCAGTGATGCCAGAGATGGAGGCAGAGACAGTGACGTGGAGAGATGAAGCAGCTGGGGACTCTAGACCCAGAGAGGGAGAGGGGCTGTGTGCTGATGACTAGGGGCGGTGGCACACTTGTAGGATGTACCCATTTGTTGGTTGATGATGCATGGAGGGGATTGTAACCATAGCAATGAAACAATATACGATAGGATGACTGTAAAACTAATGTTCTCCCATGTAAACTATCACATTATTCACAATAAAACATTTTAAAAATAAATAAAATTTTGCTGAAGCTATTTCAAAAACCATTGTTAACAATACATTGATATGGAACTGCCAGAAATTCAAGTCAGATTTTGATGAGGACATGGAACGAGGGATACCATTGCTAACATCAGCTGGAACTTGGCTGAAAGCAGAAAATACCTGAAAGACATCTACCTGTGCTTTACTATGAAAAGACTTTTGACTGTGTGGATCATGACAAGCTATGGACAACATTGCAGAGAATGAGTATTACAGAACACTTAATAAGGAACTTGTACACTGACCAACAGTTAGCTGTTCAAACAGTACAAAGGGACAGTTAATGGTTTAAAAGGAGGCAAAGTGTGCACAAGGGTTGTATTCTTTCACCATACTATTCAATCTGCATGATCAGCTCGTTTAGCGCAACAAAAGCCTTGCAGTCTGCTCTTTTTCACCTAGTTGAGACCTCTGATGAGCAGTCATGTCTATAGGATCTGCAGCTGACACTTATCTTGGCACCATCTACTCATGTATGGGTGTGTCTTCCAGCACAGGAAAGTGGAGTGCATTGCCAATGATCAGGGAAACCAAATCACCCAAAGCTATGTGACTTTTACTGACACCCAACGTTTGTTTGCTTGGTGATGCTGCAAAAAACCAAGTTGCAATGAATCCCACTAACAATTTTTGATGCCAAACGTTTGATTGGAAGATCTGATGACTCTGTTGTCCAGTCTGACACGGAACACTAGCCCTTCATGGTTGTGAATGATGCAAGCAGGCCTAAAGTGCAAGTAAAACATAAAGGAGAGACCAAGAGTTTCTATCCAGAGGAAGTGTTTTCTATGGTTCTAACAATGATGAAGGAAACTGCAAATGCCTATCCTGGAAAGACTGTTACAAACGCTGTTGTCACTGTAACCAGACTATTGTAATGACTTTCACAATGCCTCAATTTACTTAGAATCACTAATGAGCCAAGTGCTGCTGCTACTACCTATTGTGGTTGTTGCTGTTAAGTGCCGTTGAGTCGGTTCCGACCCATAGCGACCCTGAACAGGGTTTCCGAGGCTATAAATCTTAACGGGAGCAGAAAGCCTCATCTTTCTCCCATGGAGCAGCTGGTAGTTTCGAACTGCTGACCTGTGGTTCACAGCCCGATTCGTAACCACTATCCTACCACTATGCTACCAGACCTCCGCTACTATCTATAGCTTAGACAAAAAGGTTGGTGCTAAAGAAATGTGCTGATTTTTGACACAGGAGGAGGCACTTTTGGTATGTCACTTCTCACTACTGAAGATGGAATTTCTGAGGTCAAATCTACAGATGGATATACTCACTTAGGTGGAGAAGACTTTAACAACTAGATGGTCAACCATTTTATTGCTGCCATTTAAGCGTAAACATAAGGACATTAGTGACACTAACAGGGCTGTCTACCGCCTCTGCACTCTCTTCTAGCATCCAGGCCAGTACTGACACTGATTATCTGTATGAAGGCATTGATTTCTATACCTTCGATGGCAAAGAATTTAACAAGAGCACCAACCCTGACAAGGCTGTTGCTGATGGTGCAGTTGTACAGGAGACAAGTCTGAAAATGTTCAAGATTTGTTGCTTTTGAATGTCATACCTCTTTCCCTTGATACTGAAACTGCTGGTGCAGTCATGACCTGTTCTTATCAAGCACAATACTACCATCCCTACCAAGCACAAACAGACCTTCACAACCTACTCTGATAACCAGCCTGGTATACTCATTCAGGTTTATGAAGGTGAACATGCCATGACCAAACTTAACAACCTGCTTGGCAAATTTGAAACCCTGCACCCCATGGTGTTCCTCAGATTGAAGTCATTTTTTTTATATTGATGCCAATAGCATCCTCGATGGTTCTGCTGTGGGTAAGTGGACTAAAAAAAGAGGACAACATTACCATCACTAATGACAAGGTTAATTAGTAAAGACAACATTGAGTAAAGATGACACTGAATGTATGGTTCAGGAAGCTGAGAAGTACAAGCCTGAAGATGAGAAAAATCAGGATTAGGCGTCCTCTAAAAATGCACTTGAAACATCTACATTTAACATGAAAGCAACAACTGAAGATGGAAAAACTTCAAGACAAGATCAATGATGAGAACAAACAGAAGTTTCTTGATAAACATAATGAAATTATCAACTGGCTTGATAAGAATCAGAATGCAGAGAAAGAGGAATTTGAACATTAGTAGAAAGAGCTGGAAAAAGTCCGCAATCCTATCATTACAAAGCTATATACTACAGCGCCAGAAGTATGCCTGGAGAAAACTTGAGGGCTTCTCTAGTGGTACGGCTCCTTCACCTGGTGGTGCCTTGTCTGGACCCACCACTGAAAAGGTTGATTAACCCAGTATCTGAGCACACATAACTTAGCATTATTCCACAATAAATCAATGAAGGACCCACATTTGCAGCACATTCAATAAGTTTTAAAAAATGGGAACTGCAATACTAAATTTCTGGACATTCTCAATACTTGAATATGGAGCCATGATCTTAGAGAAAGGAAGCACACTTTATTAGCACTGTATTTTAAGTGGAAAATTCATTGTCTTAAAGTTGTGTTTAAAATTGGCAAAACAAACAAATAAAAGCAATTTATACACTGAGCATATAATTCAAGAAGCTGGATTATATGAAGAAGAACATGGCATCAGGATTAGAGGAAGAACTTCCAGAGAGGTTCAAGCTGGATTCAGAAGATGCCGTGGAACAAGGGATATCATTGCTAATGTCAGATGGATCTTAGCTGAAAGCAGAGAATAGCAGAAAGATGTTTATCTGTGCTTTACTGACTATGCAGAAGCTTTCGACTATGTGGATCATGACATTAAGAAGTCATGAGTATTCCAGAACACTTCATTGTGCTCATGAGGAATCTGTACCTGGACTAAGAGGCAGTTAGTTGTTCAAACAGAACATGGGAACACTGAATGGTTCTTAAAATTAAGAAAGGTATGCAGTAGAGTTGTATTCTTTCACCATACTTATTCAGCCTGTATACTGAGCAAATAATCCAAGAAGCTGGGTTCTATGAAGAAAATCATGGCATCAGGATTGGAGGAAGACTCATTAACAACCTGTGATACGCAGATGATATAACCTTGCTTGCCGAAAGTGAAAAGGACTTAAAATACTTACTGATGAAGATCAAAGAGCACAACCTTCAGTATGGATAGCATCTCAATGTAAAGAAAACAAAAATTCTCACCACTGGACCAATAAACAACATTCTTATCAATGGAGAAAAGAATGAATTTGTCAGACTTCATTCTTGCATCAACCGTCAACACTTAAGGAAGCAGCAGTCAAGAAATCAAACCACGTATTGCATTAGGCAAATATGCTGCAAAAGACCTTTTAAAAGTGTTGAAGAGCAAAGATGTCAGCTTAGGACTAAGGCACACCTGACCCAAGCCATGGTATTTCCAATAGCTTCTGATGCATGTGAAAGCTAGAGAGTGAATAAGAAGACAGTAGAATAATTGATGCTTTTGAGTTATGGTGTTGGAGAAGAATATTTAAAGTACCATGGGCTGCCAAAAGAAAAAAACAATCTGTGTTTAAGAATTGCATCCAGAGTGCTCCTTGGAGACCAGGATGGCCAGACAATATGTCTCTTATATTTCGGACATATTGTCAAGAGGGACCAGTCACTGGAGAAGGATATCATGTTTGGTAAGGTGGAAGGTCAGAGAAAAAGAGGAAGACCCCCAGCAAGATGGATTGGCAAAGTGGCAGCATCAATGGGCTCAAACAATTCTGAGCTTGGCCCAGGATCAGGAAGTATTTTGTTCTGCTGTGCATAGGTCACTATAAGTCGGTACCTACTCCATGGCACCTAACAATATATTCTTCAAACATGAATATGCTAAAAATAACAAGCTAAACCCTGGTCGGTCTTCAGTCAATCTATGCTGAGCAAATATATATATAATAGAACAAAATTAATTTGAACTAAAATTCTGCAGAATTTACTTTAATATTACAAATCAAGTGAATCCAGTTTAACACATTTAATACATTAAATGTGTTTAAGAAAAACCTAAGTCAATAAGTTTTCTATAGAATGATAAATCATACTTAAATTTCAGTCATACAGTTAGCATTCAGAGATCAAACACTCAAGTACAATTCTCATCTTCCCTAATACATGCTCATCAATGTTTCCAGTTTAAATGTACTGTTGTTGTTACGTTTCATTGAGTCAGTTCCAACTCACAGTGACCCTATATAGGCTTTCCTAAGAGTGGCAATTAGTAGTCCAGTGCTTATTCTATAGTGACACAGCCCTCAAATCATGTTATTTCAATAACCTGTATCAAATGGTAAAACACATATGAATATTCTGTTTTTGTAACAAAGACAAAACCACAAATGCCAGATAGTGCTATTTTCTGAGTCAATCACAGAATTCTCGTGTTGGTCTTAACTACCTGAATTTGTTATTATCTGTTGAACAGGAGTCACACCTGCAGGGAGTGCCAAGGTAGCAGCTGTAGCAGCAGCACTCTAAAAAAAAAAAATAAATAAAAATAAAGGAAATTAAAAAGAACTCACATAACCACTCAAATTCAAAACAGCACCTCAGTTACGTTCAGTATAATTTAATAATATTTGAAACTTAAAAAGCCTAAATGACCTCCTTAATTATCACAATCAATTCAAGAAAACAAGTGTTTTGTTTTACGGGACAATGTACTCAAATCAAGAAAATCTCACCCACATTAGCAACAATGCTTCACACCATTTTGAAATAATGATCTCATTACTTACTTTGCCATTATTTGCTCTCTTATTTATAATTCCTTGGATTTATAAGAATAAAGGTTAAGTATTTTCATTAAGTTGTTTTTGTTGTTAAGTGTCTTCAAGTCAGTTCTGACTCACTGAGACCCTGTACAGGGTTTCAAGTAGCAGCTGGTGGGTTTGAACTGCCGACCTTGTAGTTCACCGCCGTCCAGTGCTTATCCAACAGTGCCACACCAGGAGTCCATTATAGCATTCTTAGTTTTTATAATGCATACTAGAATTAACAGGTCTTTATAGAAAGCTAGAGTTTGGAGTATCACTGATCATTCTAAGATTCCATATCAGAAAGTTAAAAACAACAATACTAATATTATATTCTAAGTGAAATATACTGAAGTTGCAAGCGTCAACATTTTAAAATGAACCTAGATTCTGACATTTAGTAAGTGTGAGTGGGACTACTTGTATATTCTGAATTCTTTAAATTTAGGATACTCTGAATTCTTTAAATTTAGGATACGTTCTTGAATTACTGCATTAGAAGAATTCTCTTCACCTTTTACCCTCCCCTTCAAAAGAAACACACAGCTTTTTTATACTATGATTTATCTCCATCTTCCCCTTCAATTTTCTGTAACTCTCTGATGAACTGCTCATATGCTATTCAATTAAACCTATAATTATTTTAAAATACTGATTTTGGCTAAAAACATAAAAAGGAAAATAAGCTACTCTGGAGATGCTAAATGCCAGAGAAGTCAACAGAGCTTAGGGTATTATATTAAAGTGGGCTAACGTTGTAACTATCATTTGGTCTGGGACATAAAGTATAACTCTCCAAGAATATATGCTTTTTTTGAGACACCTGATGGGCTTTGGCAATCTCTATACTTTGAGGTTAAAATTCCTACTATGCCTTCAGAATTGTTATACTTTACTGGTTTCAACCATCTTTACATTGGATACTTAAAAACCCAACTTAAAATAAAGTTTATCCATATAGGCAAATGAAAGGAGACTTAAGTTTAAAGAACATATTGACAATCACTTACTCCTGAGACATATTATTTAAGAATATTAAGTGTCTATAATTATTTTATAATAGATGTCCCTCACTGGAAAAATGACATAGTTTCAATAGGGCACTGTGTTGTTAGGTGTTGTCAATCCAACTGCAACTCATAGTAACCCTATATAACATAGCTGAAGTGTCCGATAACGTTTTCATGAAAGTCTTAAGCAGATCACAAGGTCTTCCCCCATGCATCTATAGGGCAGAGGTGTCACAATAATCACCTACACACCTGCATATCTAACTGGCTCAATAAATATTTGTTAAGTGCACACTCAATAATACCCTTTAAGGGATACTGAAAAAGTTACTTTCAATTTTATGAAATAACCCAAACATGAATAATGAATTAGAACAATCATTTCATAAAGAAATGTTTTGATAAGGTCCTGGTTTTTTTATACCTGTGGCTGTCAAGTCAATTCTGACTCAGCAACCTTATTGGACAGAATAGAACGAACGGGTCCAGAGTTTTAAGGCTGGAATCTTTACAGACACAGACAGCCACATCTTTCTTCTACTGAGTGGCTGGGAGGTTCGAACTGTCAACCTTCCGAATAGTAACCAAGCACTTAACCTCTCTGCAACCAGGATTCTTCTTTTCTGTTTTAAAAATTTCCTCAAAAAGCCTTCTACTTAATATGATCACTATTGTGATGACTAAGGCTATGTGTCGACTCCACTGGGCCATGATTTTCTGTAGTTTGGCAGTTAACATACAGTCATTCCCATGATGAGATCTATGTCATGCAATCACTTCCATGATAAGATTTGTAATGAGCAAGAAAGGAAGTATCTTCAGGGATGTGGCCTGCATCCAATATACATGGACATTATGGCCAAGGTCTGCCTTTTTGATCAATTTGGAGCCTGCATATAGCACTTCATCATCTGACCTCTGTTCTTTGGCTTCAGCCAGTGGTCTGCCATACTGCCTGCCCATCTTGGACTTCAGGAGCTCCTACAGTCTGTGAGCAGCCTGCTCTGCTGACCTGTCGGTCTTAGATTCGATAAACCCCGCAACTACCTGAATTAGTAAAAGACCCACAGATCTGGGATTTACAAACGGGCATGACAGAAGGATAAAAGCACTGGACTGCAAGGTCAGTTTGAGTCACAAGATCGGTGGTTCAAATTCTCCAGCCATTTCTTGGAAACCCTACACAGTGTGGCTATGAGTTAGAACCAACTCAATGGCACTTTACAACAACAACAAATACGTGAGCCATTTACTTTATTCTTGGTGTGATGCTGTAGTATGAGCATTTATTAGACTGTTATCTCTGGTAGCGTAGTGGTTATGAATCGGGCTGCTAACCTCACGGTCAGCAGTTTGAAACAGCAGCAGTTCCGCGGGAGAGAGATGAGGCTTTCTGCTCCCATAAAGATTTACAGCCTCAGAAACCCTGTACAGGGTCGCTATGAGTCACAACGGACTCTCCGGCACATAACCACTACCACCACCAGAAAGTCAGTGTTTCAAACCCATCAGCAACTCCTCAGAAACCCTATACAGGGTCACTATGAGTAGGAACAGACTAGACAGCACTTAACTAATATATATATATATATAATATATATATATATTATATATATATATATGTGTGTGTGTGTGTGTGTGTGTGTGTGTGTATCTATATATATCTATATCTATATATGTTGTTGTTGTTATATGCCATGGAGTCAGTTCCGACTCATAGCGACCCTGTACAGGGTTTCCAAGGCTGTAAATCTTTACGGAAGCAGAAAGCATCATCTTTCTCCCGCGGAACAGCTGGTAGTTTTGAACTACTGACCTTGGGGCTCGCAGCCCAATTTGTAACCACTATGCTACCAGAGCTCCTTCGATAGATTAGATAGATAGATAGATAGATAGATAGACAGACAGACAGACAGACAGACAGACAGACAGATATAGGAGCCCTGGTAGCATAGTGGTTATATAGATACAAGAGCTCTAGTAGCGTAGTGGTTACTAATCAGGCTGAGAACCATAAGGTCAGCAGTTCGAACTACCAGCTGTTCCACTTCCGTAAAGATTTACAGCCTCGGACACCCTGTACAGGGTCGCTATGAGTCGGAACCGACTCCACAGCACACAGCCATAGTCAGCCACATGTATATATACATACATATTCTTCACTGGTTTTGCTTTTCTAGAGAACCAAGCATAAGACAAGTATACTATATTTGACATAATGATTATGCACTCAGCTGCTAACCAAAATGTCGGCAACATGAACCTACCAGCCACTCAAAGGGAAAAAGATAGCCATCTATTTCTGTAAAGATTGCAGCCTTGGAAACCCTATGGGGCATGTTCTACTCTGTCCTACAGGATTGCCACAAGTTAGTGGAGTCTACCAGATGGCAAAGAGGATCTCATATTTTCACCAAAAAAATTAGATAAGTTTTCAATATGTTCACTTCCAACACATGCAAAGCCATTAGAAAAATATCAAAATTAATGGATTTCTATGAATGCAAACAAAAGTCCTGGCAAGGAATCTATTTTGATTATGTTTCATAACATGCAAAATACATGGAGCAAACACTGAAACATGACAGTAAAATAATAAAATACATAAATGCAAATCCATTTTAATTGACTAAAGTCTTTAGTCTATGACCTACTTAAATATACTATTCTTTAGAATTAATGGGAATCCCTGGTGGGGGGCAAGATGTTAACATGCTAGGTTGGTTTCCATTCTGAGTACAGAGGCACCCCAGAAAAAAAGACTTAGTGATGTATCCACAACAACCAGCTACTGAATACCCTAAGCAACAAAGTTTAACTGATACACAAAAAGTCCCCATGAGTCAGAATGAACAACAGCAACTCAATAAACGAGACCTTATCAATCAGAGATGGCCCACTGATCTTTAGTCAATTACTCTGTCGACTCAAAAATCTCTCCCAAAACATTTTCAATTATTTGAGCTTCGATGAGTCCACTGCTGTTGACTGAATCAAAATTTCTATTTTACAATGATGTTATTCCTTGGGAAAAGTCTTATAACACCAACTGCAGTAGGGACCTGCAGGACAGCTAATAATTTATTATGATGGCCCTTCTAGCCAAATTTCTCCCTTTTGTGACCTACTATATATATCCTAGCCTCTATGCCTGTTACCTGTTATTATGGATCCTTGTGGGCATGGCCTGACTACAATTTATAAGACTACTTTGGAAATGCTTGTTACCTTGCCCTGAATCTTGAATCTGAATCACTACATCTGACTTCCGTGGGATTTGCGGCCCACCACCTGACCTAATTCACCAGCTCCACAGTCTCATGCATCAACAGTCTATCATCTGATCTGCTGACTCGGCTTCATCAGTTCCAGAGGCTACAAAGGTGAGAAGATTCCTTCAGACTGATCTCTGAACTACAGAGTTAGGACTTGCCAGCTTACACAACAGCGTAAGCCATGTCTTTTGACAATTCTGAGTTTTATGAAACGTGGCAGCATGATGTAGAACCCTGAGACTTGAGGGGGCATTGTGGAGGAGCATAATGTGTCAGAATAGTCAAACAGATGGAATAGCTTTAACCTCCAATTCATAAGGACTAGTCATGTGTTGGTTTATAAAAGAAATTATTAGGACCCTAAATGAGGTTTAAAAAAATAGTAGGGTTTAAAATGGAACTTCTAGGTCTTAGACTTGAAATGCAAATGTTTTAAATAATGAAAATTATTCTGAGAAATAACAGGCAGGAGATTTTGTGTTTTTCAGGCAAAAGGACTGATTCCTACAATTTGAATGAACTACAAGTACAAATAGAAACATTTAACATTTGTAAATTTAAAAATTTCAATTTCTATCATTCTCTAGTAATCCTGAAGATATGCAGAAATTTGTACTTCTGCCAAGGTATGAACTTGTGCAGCCAGTATGTGTAGTGGGAAGTCATTTGTGCAGCTGGTGAGCTCTGCTTTCTTCTATGGTTTAGAAATCACAGGGGAGCGATGTGGTTCAAGACTCATCAGAAACACAGGAAAAGTGATTCAACAACAGTTAACAAAACAACTTCTTGTTAGCATTATTTACAAAGGCTATTTACATTATTTCCAAAAAATAATGCTTATTACACATTTACATTTGGGCTAAATTTTAAGAATACATGCCAAGAGATTTTTATAGACATTAATAGTCTCTATATTTTAAACAAAGTAAAGAAAAGGAATTTGTAAGAAATTACTAGAGCACATTCTCTAATCTTTGCTTTATTAAACAACAACAAAAAGAAAACCTTAAAGCACATACATAAAAAGATGGGTTTCTTTCAGTTTTAGTTATACTTCACCACAACTGATGGGAAATAGCTATTCTAGGTGATACTGAAAATCTGAATTATTAAGTTCCACAGACATCACTCAGGAATATAAAAGTGTAATATATATATATATATATCCTTCACATATTATAATAAAACTTTATTAAGAGTGTAGCGCTGTGGGTTTATGTGCTAGACTACAAAGTCAGTTTGAACAGCAAGGTCAGTGGTTCAAGCTCACCAGCCACTCCTTGGAAACCCTACACGGGGTTGCTAGGGGTTGAAACTGACTCTACGACACTCAACAACAACATAGGTAAGGAGTCTTGGTGCGGTGCTGTACGATCAGCACTGGACTGCTAAATCTCAAATGTGGTGGTTCAAATTCACCAGGCACTCCTTGGAAACCCTATACAGGATTGTGTCCTGGTATGACACTGTGGGTTAATGCACTGGACTGCAAAGTCAATTTGAACTATAAGATCACCGGTTCAAGCTCACCAGCAGCTCCCTGAAAACCCTATACAGGGTCGCTATAGGTCAGAAGTGACTCAACGGCACTTAACAACAAACAATACATCAGAACTGACTCGACAGCACTCAACTACCACTCAACTACATAATTAAAGCACAACAATGTTTAATTTAAGCCTTAAATCTTAAAAATAAGTCATTCTGAACTAGCCAAACAGTATCATTTTCAGAAAATTTTTAATTCTCAACTTTAATTTACTGATCTTTAATGGATGCTCTAAAACAAAACTACAATTGGCATAATGGCTTTGATAGGTACCTTTCATCATTTTCCGAACACAGCAGATGATGTAATGGCTCCCACAAAGCAGCAATTTTTTTTATTATGTTAAACAGAAAATTGCTTAATTTTATGAACTATATTGTCTAAGTATCAAGTTAAACTTTAGATATGCCGCTAAAGCCAGTTTAGAAAACTAATAAAAACACCACTTTTGCTCACATTTAAAAAAAAAAAATTACAACTTTTTAATGTGAATTGTGGGAAGGTTTACAAAACAGATCAGTTTTCCATTCAATAATTCATGTATATTTTCTTTCATGTCACTAACTGCAGTCTCCACAATTTAGCACCATTCAACCCACTTTCTCCTTATATTTCCAGTTCATTCCTCCTCCTTTCCCAGCCCTTCTCAACTTTGTCCTTAGGTAAATGCTACAGTTTTGATCTCAAATAGTTGATTATTCTAAGCTATGTATACTTTCCTAGAATTCTAATAGTTCCCCTTATTGTTGTTGTTAAGTCACATTGAGTCAATTCCCACTCATAGTCACCCTAGAGAGGGTTTCCGAGGAGCAGCAGGTGGGTGTCATCACCAGCTTCATGATTCACACTCTAGTGCTTAACTATACCACCGTACCAGGAGTTCATCCCCTGAGACACTTGTCTATTGAAATTGGCTGAAAATTAAGCCATGAGGGTCTGTTTATTTCTAGACCTGAAGGGTGACTATCCAACCAGTAAGCTGATTTTTTCTTCATGATTTTGAGTTTTGTTACACATTTTTCTCCCACTCTGTCCAGTACCTTCTATAACGGGATCCCTTTCAGTTTTGTTCACATCTTGAATAAGCTTCATGTTAATATACTTCAGCACAATCACAATCTGACTTAAAACAGCTACAGTCCACCAACATGCTAAATTTTGACTCTTACCATGTTTGACGCATTCATATGTTGTATTAGCTTAGAATCAGGAACAATAACTTGTGGTGCTGTGGCTATAAGAAAACATAAGCACACATGCAAATAAATCATACGGCTGTTTCATAATCACAAGAAAACTACTACACAATGCTGCTTTTTTCATGTTTTCCAAATGTTCTGCATTCAAATATATTCAATCATTTGAGATCTAAAATTATTTTAGGTTTTTATGGCAAATCACAGCTGTGATACATTCACTAAATACTGGAAACATCAATAAAGGAGATTTGAGTGACAACACTTAGTATTTCAAAGTTCCCTGGCATCCTTAGTTGGAACTTAGAAATACACTCATTCTCTACATTTTTGGACTTTAAACATTCACTTCTGTGCTTTCTTAAATCAACTACAGTTTTCAAACATAATTTACTTCTGTCTTGTTAAATCAGCATAAACTGTTTTATAGATTCATCCAATGATATTAACTGTTAGAAAGTTACAAAAACCATTAAGATTTAGCTTTTAAAATTCTACTTTAAAAAATTACTCCTTTCTCCTGATTCGATAGTTGCCAAAACTGTAAGTTACTTTTATAAATACGATCAGAAGTACTAGCAATCCTACGTAAGCGTGAAAGGAGCTGTCTGATTCCGCAAATTTCAGAGAACACACAGATAATCCCATTATCCTATTCTCTGAGTGAAGAAAATCAAATTTTAATTTATGATGACCTAAAATCCTAGTGCCAGGTCTGAAAGGCAATAGGAGGAACAGTCATCAATATGAATTATAAAGAGAGTATTATTTAATACAAGGTGGAGGATTAAGCATTGGCCTAACTAAAAGGTCAGCAGTTCAAACCCATCCACAGGAGAAAGATGAGGAATTATGCTTAAGATTTATATCCTCAGAAACCCTATATGAAGTAGTTCCACTATGCCCTACAGGGTTGCTGTGAGTCAGAACTGACTCATCAGTAGTGGGTTATAGATTAAAATCAGATGTAAAAAGCAAAATAATATAAGTAGACTTTTATCACTACTATCAATTTAAGGCTTTATATGTACACTAGACTGAGACAAATAACGAAAAAGTTACCTTAAATTTACCTTCATATTTCTCTTTAATAAGTATTCAAAAGATGTACTGAATTAGAATGTCCAGTAAGTTTTACAACTGAATAAATATTTGCAGTGAAAGAAAATACCTCGTACAAGATATTTCATAAAGCCTTTGTAAGGCTTCAATGAAACATTATCTAAAAAATGTTTTACATAGTGCACAACACTATAGACACAGTCTATTAACTTATTTATAAGGCAAGTAATACAAAAATTAAAATAATCTTATACTTCTTTACTTTAAAGAACCACAATTCAGTCAATCTGCTATTGTTTTAAGTGCCACTGAGTCAATTCTGACTCATAGCAACCCTGTTAAGGGTTTCAAAGGAGTGACTGGTGGGTTTGAGATAACAACGCTGCAGTTAGGAGTCCATTGCTTATTCTACAGTGCCAGAATAGCTACTACTACATGTATTGTTGTTAAACGCTGTTGAGTCGATTCTGACCCACAGCAACCCAGTATAAGGTTTCCAAGGAGCAGCTGGTGGGTTTGAACTGCCAACCTTGCAGATCAAAACAACTTTGCAGTCCAGCACATTAATCCACAGTGCTACACCAGGCCTCCAATACATGTAAAGTCTTCTGAAAAAAACAAACATTAATACAAACATCTGACTTATCACCTTAAGGTTTTTAGTTCATGATTTACACTTCTCTAACGTTGTTGTTCTTAAGCGTCATTGAGTCGGTTCCGACTCATAGCAATCCTACATAGGGTTTCCGAGGAGCAGCTGGTGGGTTTAAACTGCGGACCTTGTGGTTCACAGTCCAGTGCTGATCCTACAGCACGCCACACCAGGCATCATCTTGCTAAACAATAAACTAGAAATTCATAAAAAGACTCACATTTTATAAATGCACATATCTACCTTAACACTTATAAACACATTCTGCCAACCAAAAGGAAACTAGATCAGTGCTGGTTTTTATAGGTTTACAAAGCCTTTCTTAAAAACAAGATCCAACTAAGTCAGAATACTTCTCTTCTTTCAACAGAAGATACTTCACTTCCTAGTTTTAAGTAGGAAAACAAATCCGGTCTCACCTTGTTGCGAAGCAGGGATAAGAACCTGCTGGGTCTGTGTTTGCTGTGGTACCGACTGCTGTGGTTGAGCTTGCTGATGGTGGTGGTGGTGATGGTGCTGCTGCTGCTGTGGCTGATGCTGTTGCTGAACTTGCAATAAAAGCTGCTGCTCTTCTGAATGAAATCCATCCACTGCCCTAGACTGCATTAGCTTATTCTCCCATAACTAAGAAAACAACATTAAATATTTCTAAGTAAAAGTTAGAAACGATGACTCCAGATATGCAGACATAGGAAAAAACATTTTATCATTAGTTTTTACGTTTATAAAAGAAAAACCTGGTGCAATCACAAAATCAATCTCTTTTAATGCTTATCCCAGTATAAACAATAATGAACACGATTTTTAAAGTATCAAACCTTACTTGGTACTTTAGAGTACTGAAGAAAATTGTATTTGCTTGTTTTTAATTATCATCAAACTTTCTATAGTAATTCCTTAATTATGAGGAATTATTTAACAAGTTTCAACTAAGCTTTTTTTTAAGAAATCATAGAGTATCCTTTTAGCATCAAAATTATTATTAAGCTATTTTTATGGAAATCTTTCCTTAATACAAAAGCTTTTGCCTTTTAAGGAAGATATAAACCCAACTTACTACTGTCATCATGTTGATTCTGACTCAGAGCAACCAAAAAGGACAGAATAGCACTGCCCATTCTACAGGGTTTTCAAGGCTATAAATCTTTACAAAAACAAACTACCACAGCCTTCTCTCAATGGCTGGCGGTTTAGAACAGCTGATGTTTCAGTTAGCACTCATGTGCTTAACAGTCACGCCACTAAGGTTCCTTTAGTAATATACATAGTGGCTACTGCTGTTATTGGGTGTTATCAAGTCAGTTATGACTCACAGAGATCCTGAATAGAGTTTCCAATGCTTGTAAATCTTTTTAAGAGCAAAAAGTCTCATCTGTCTCCTGCAGAGTTAAGTGGTAGATTTGAACCGTTGAACTTGTGGTTAGCTGTCCAGTGGTTATCCTACAGTACCACCAGATAACGTATACAGAATAGAAATGAACCTTTCTTTATTAGAACAATGAAGAACATTACAGAGGCAGTCCACTAAGTAGATAAGCCCAGCTTTTCACATGCTCAATCCTATAGGGACAGAAGAAACAGTATAATCTGAAGGTCTTACAGGTTTTTCCCAGATTTCTAACACCTTTTGAAAATGTCCTTTCTTCCATTATGCCAAAGATTATAATGCTCCTTTACTACAAAGCTGTTGTTCTTAAGTGCTGTCAAGTCACTTCCTACTCATAGCGACCCTGTATAGGGTTCCTGAGGAGCGGCTGCTGAGTTTAAACCGCTGACCTTCAGGTGAAACCCACTTTCCAGTTCAGCAAGCACATTAACCCCCAACACCACAACAGGACTCCCCTTAACTACTTTACCACCTCCATTTTCTCAAGTCATACTAGGAAAAGGTTCTACAATGGAAAAAAATCAAGAGGCAGACAAAGGGAAGAAGAAAATAAGAAAATATTTGCAACTATTCCATCCTCTCTAATGCATTTCCTCTCTCTAGCAGGTTTAGCTCCAAATCTGTAAAAACACATTGTCCAAGAAAGTCACAAAGTGTTCCTTGAAAGTACAAATGAGCAATCCTTTGCATACACGGATCTACCAATAAGGACTGTGTGTGTGTGTGTGTGTGTGTGTGTGTGTGTACACGTGCTCACCCACACAAGCAAACCCACACACTTTGTATTCTACTCCAGGATCTGCTCTTGGAATGATGCCGAACCACACTGAGGTTTGTACCAGATTCCTCAAGAAGCTCTCTGCCATTCTCACGGGAATCTTCTTGAGGTCTAGAGCCATCCTAAAATTTCTAGATTTGTATCTACACGTTGGTAATAATTCTAGCATATGTCTGACAGATTAATCCAAGAGTCTATTTAGTAACTTTCCTAGGGCAACCATCGCTCTAGTAGGCCAAATGTTTACAACTGCTAGAAGTCTTTTCTTACGGAGATAATAATAAACTAGCCACGTAGAACATGTATCACAGAGCGTAACAAAAAGTCAGTGATTATTTGTGCCAATGGTGTTATAAATTGTGTAATAATATCAGATGTCAGGAAACCTGTTAGTCCTGGTTTGGTCACTAATTGGCCTTAAAGACACATCATTTATCTTATCTCTTTTTTTTTTTTTTTTTTTTTGTCATTTTACTTATCTATAATGAGGACAAGTTGAATTTACTTAACCCCTTAATTCGCTTTTAGATGATAACTTTCTGCAAATCCTACACTAAATACCGCAATGGCAAAACCCAAGTTTTATCTGACTCATCTATGTAAAGTAGGCAGCTGTCTATGTAAAGTATACACACAGTATAAAATGGGTGCTTTAATGATAAATGAAACACAGTAGGAGACCTGCTGGTTCTGTGGGCTAAGCACCTGGCTATTCAAACCCACCAGTGGCTCTGCGGGAAAAAGACTATCTGCTACCATGACGATTCACAGTCTCAGAAACTCTACAGGGCAATACTACTCTGTTGTTCCTATAGGGTTGCTGAGTCCGAAGCAATTCAGTATCAGTAGGTTTTGTTTTATAATTCTACACAGTAAGACTGCAAAAAAGATATCCTCTTCTATCACTCAAACTTTCTATGTCTCCTTGTTGTCTTTAAGTCACTTCTGACTCACAGTGACTCTGTGTAGGATTTCAAAGGAGTGAGTGAGGGGTTCAAACCACTAACCTTGTAGTTAATAGCCCACTGTTTATCCTATAGCACCATACCAGAACTCCTCTTTATTTCTTCTAAAACAAACTTTATGACTCAAAAATCAAGTGGAAAAATACTTAACAATTTGTTTAACCAACAGTTTTTAATATAATTTTCTAAATTTAATGCTTCACTTTTGTCATCCTGATTAGTCTTCCCAAATACAATCCACCACCTTCAGTGTAATCACCTCCATAATAGCAAAACTTTGTACATATTATGTACTGTTAAGTGCTGGGTAATACTACTATCCTGGTCTTCCAAATTAACAACATAAGAGGCAGGACACACTGCCTGCAGTAAATAATAGGTAATGAAAGTAATCACTGAATATCACCTATGAGTTACATAGTGTTACAGGAACTAAGAATAGATATATCAAATCTGACAAAAATCTTCCTCTACACACAGCCTACATACTAGTGGAAATATCATCCCAATCTATCTGCTACATTATCAGTGGTCCTCTAAATGGGGTCCCAAAGACAATGTTGTTGTTATGTGCCGTCGAGTTGGTTGCGATCCATAGCAACCCTGAATACGGTTTCTGAGGCTGTAAGTCTTTACAGGAGCAGAAAGCCTCATCTTTCTCCCGCAGAGCAGCTGGCAGTTTTGAACTGCTGACCTTAAGGTTTGCAGCCCAATTTGTAACCACTACGCTACCAGAGCTCCTTCCCAAAGAAAATAGCATCAGCTTTATCTGGAATTTGTTAGAAATGCTAATTCTAAGATCTCTACATATGATCTACTGAGTTAGCAAATCTTGGTAGGTACCAAAATTCTGTTTAGCAAGCTGTCCAAGTGATTGTAAAGTGATCTTCAATTTTTAGAAGTGCTGCTCTCAAGTCTTAACTAATGGTTTTCAGATGACAGATTGCAAGCAATTACTGTTGTGAGATGCCATCAAGTTGTTTCTGACTCACAGTAATCCCAGGAACAGAATGAAACATTTTCCAGTACTGTGTGCCATCCTCCTAATTTTTATGTTTGGTAACTACTGTGTCAGTTCATCTCATTGCAGGTCTTCCTCTTTTTTTGCTGAACTTTACCAAAATGTTCTTCTCCAGGGACTGGTCCCTCCTGATAACATGCCCAAAGTACGTAAGACAATCTTACCGTCCTCGGTCTAATGAGCATTTGGCTGCACTTCTTCCAAAGCAAATTTGTTCTTTCTTTTAGGAGTCTATCTTTGATGTTGTCATTAAGTGCTGTTGAGTCAGTACTGATTCACAGCGACCTTATGTATGACCTAATGACACACTGCCAGGTCCTGCACCAACCTCACAATCTTTGCTAAGCGTGAGCCCAATGCGGCTACCACTGTGCTGACTCAACCTCATTAGGGGTCTCCCTCTACTTCGATCCACCTGATATGTCCAAAACATCAGAGATGAAATGTGGCCATCCTGGCTTCTAAGGAGCATTCTACCTACACTTCTTCCAACACAGATTTGCTTGTTCTTCTTATAGTCCATGGTACTTTCAATATTCTACTCCAACACCATAATTCAAATTCGTCAATTCTTCTTTAATCTTCTTTCTTTATTGTCCAAATTTTAAATGAATCTGAGGCTACCAAAATTCATGGCTTGGGTCAGGTGCATCTAAGTCCTCAGACTGACATCTTTGTTCGTGAATGTGTCGTTTGATTTCTTGGCTGCTGCTTCCTTGAGTGTTGATAGTTGAGCCACGCAAATGAAGTCTTTGGCAATTTTCAAAGTTGTCAAACTTCAACAGGTCCAGTAGGGAGAATTTTTGTTTTCTTTACACCATAGACTAGCAATGGGAAGTGGGAGTATACCCACAAATACTTCAAGGATTTCCAAAAGGTTTTTTGTACATGGGTACTTACCTTTGATACAAACACAACTATGAATGAAATACAGCACACAGCTGGCAAAAGACAAAATGATGCAAACTTCTTAGATGTCACCAAATAGCTTAAAGGAATGAGTTGCTGGGCCTTGGGACTCAGGACCATAGTCAATTGGCATGACATAGTCCACAAAGACAAGGTTCTATACCCTACTTTGATGAGTAGCGTCTGGGATCTTAAAAGCTCATGGTGTAATACGTAAAAGGGGTTCTAGAACTTGCCCAGTGAAATAGGCTGCTTGAGGAGCCTTTGCAGTGTATAGGACTTTGGGGGGAATTCTGAACCCCTTCCAGAACCTTCTGAAGGGGACATTCCCACTAGAAAGCACAAGCAGACCAGCCTGAAATAGCTATAGCAACAGAAAATACATCTTCAAAGAAACAGCATTAGGAAAAACCCAAAACAAAAATGACAGTATGATTGGCAACTACAAGAACAAGCAAGTTGTTCACCAGGGAGCCATCAAGGCAAGCAATCAAGTCCCTTTAGGATAAACCCCTCTCCAAGACTGAAACTCAAAGGGAACACATGAGCAGGCATGTAAATTTG